GGAATAGCCCCAGCAGGAAGTGCGTCCTCGACTCCCTGCTGTGTCCACCCCTCCCGGGCATTTCCGGGGCCTCTCTAGGCTCTCCGGAGGAGTGAGGTGCATCTCGGTGGTTCGCTGTCCTCACCCCTCAGAGATACTCTGCACGAGTACCTTTTAGTGTGGCGTTTATAATCCTTAAGGTTACCGAACTAAAGGATATTCTTCCTTTAAAAATGAAGGGGCTTCCAGGGGCTTCCCTTCCCTGCTGGCGCAAGTGGTTGGGAATCCGCCTACCAACATAGGGGACACGGGTTCGAGGCCTGGTGCGGGAGCATCCCATATGCTGCAGAGCAGCGAGAAGCCACCGCAATGAGAGGCTCGTGCAGTGCAATGAAGAGTAGCCCCCACTCACCGCAACTAAAAAGAAAGCCCACGAGCAGCAACGAGGACCCAATGCAGCCAAAAATAAAAATTAAAAATGAATGTCATTCTTTAACACATTATCTGTGAATAAAGTTTTGTAAATTTTGTTTTAGGGAAAGTTAAAGTTCCAACTGTACAATAAGTGGTCATTCATCCACTGGGTATTCATTTAATGCAAGAAAGCTTTGCTGAGTACCTTCTACATGCCAGGCATCGTGCTTGACACTACAGACACAAAACTGGGAAGACACAGCCCCCGTCCTCCGTTCAGTCTCCTAAGGGAGACAGACACTTAAACAAATCTTTGCAGGACAGTGTGGTAAATGCAGTACTTTGAGGTGTATGCAGTGTCTATTTGTATAACCAGAGGTGGAAATAATCAACCATGCCTAATGGAGAGGGTACAGTGAAAGACTTCACAGAAGAGATTAAGCTTCACAGAAGAGATAATGCTTAAAGAGTCCATGTGGACTGAGGACATATTTTAATTTAATTTAATTTAAATAATTATTATTTTAAGATAAATTTATTTATTTTTGGCTGCATTGGGTCTTCGTTGCTACACGGAGGCTGCTGTTTGTTGTGGTGCGTGGGATTCTCATTGCAGCGGCTTCTCTTGTTGTGGAACACGGGCTCTAGGTGCACGGGGTAGTTGCAGCACACGGGCTCAGTAGTTGTGGCTTGCAGGCTGTAGAGCACAGGCTCAGTAGTTGTGGCACATGGGCTTAGCTGCTCCGCGGCATGTGGGATCTTTCTGGGCCTGGGCTCGAACCCGTGTCCCCTGTATTGGCAGGCGGATTCTTAACCACTGTGCCACCAGGCAAGTCCCTTTAATTTTAAAATGGGTTAAATTTATAGGCAATAAATCCATAGTAGATTGTATCATCCCCTCCAACTTTAGATTTCCTATGCCCAGCTTCCTTGCAATGCTTCACAGTTAGTATCCAGGTTGCCAAGGATTTTGTCCTATTCTAAGCCCTACTCCCCCGTTCTATCATTTACTCCCTCTTCCTCACTTCATTTTAAGTATCTGCGTGGACACTGCCACCCCACCTCTTCTTTTCTGTGCCAGTGTTCAGAAAAATAAACCATGCAACTGAAATGAAGGATACTATACATTAGTTTAATATTTACATTAAATCATCTGCATTATTTAACAAATGAAGAATTATCTAAGTTATGTTATGGGTAAATTCATTTAAAATATCATTTATTTCAATAAGTATTGTACAATTAATGTCCTGATTTATGAATGCAAATTCCCAGGCAGGGTCAGGATTCCATATGACATATCTGTGGACTAAAATTTAAATTATAAACTAATGAGTTAACCATACTTTGTGCAAAAGCACAGGCAGTCAACCCCTACTTTAGGCTCTAGCAGGTAAGTGGCTGTATTAGTCTGTTGTGATCTGTTTTGATTGGACATTAACAGGACAAAAAAAATAGGAAAAGGCAGATTTTGGGGGGATTAATTTTTATGTCACATCCACTTACACAGAAAAAAGTCACTACTCACAAGGCTCATATTCATCATTTTACAAATTTAGAGCAACATGTAATCATTTTTAAAATATTTATTTATTTGGCTGCGCTGGGTCTTCGTTGCCACGTGCGGGATCTTCTTTGTGGCCTGCGGGATCTCTAGCTGTGGCCTGCAGGATCTTTTAGTTGCGGCATGTGGGCTTTTAGTTGCAGCATGCATGCAGGATCTAGTTCCCTGATCAGGGATCAAACCCAGGCTCCCTGCATTGGGAGCGCAGAGTCTTAACCACTGGACCACCAGAGAAGTCCCAACCTGTAATAATTTAATGACATAACTTGTCACATGTTTGTATCTGATCTCTCCAGGCGGTTTGAAAGCCCCTGGAGGGCAGAAACTTTGCACAAATCTACTTTTTCATCTGTGTGGGAATGCTATCACAGTCTGGCAGGAAGTCAAAAGCCCTTTTCCCAGTATTGCAGGACAAGGCTTTGAGTAGGGTCGGGTGGCCAAGGATGGCAAAGGAATTGGACAGAATGCAAATTCACAAATAAGAGAACCCTTTATAGTATAGGCAAATCTAGCTCCAGACAATATCCACCTATATAACTAGTAACGGAATACAGAAGAGAATATCACGTTCTATGAAGGCAGTACAAGCATTTTTCATCTCCTCCCAGTGAGAGGAGATGTAGGTCTCCCTACTAGCTGATTACCAGTCCGGGCTCCACTAGTTCCTGCTTCTGGGTTGTGTGACTGTGGACCCTGATCATGATATAGTGATTTGCTTAGTTCTTATCTCCCTTTCTCCTGTAATGTAACTTTTGCTTTCATCTGCTCTCACTGATATCGTTGAATGACATATTTCTCTGTTCCCAATGCCTTTTCTGATGCTTTGTTCAAAAAAGTTAATTGAAGAATGCTAGCTGCCTCATCTTTTAAAAATAATTAAGTGAGGGGAGAAAGTGAGAAAAGGAAAACAGGGCAGGAATAAATAAGGTGGAGCCAGGGATAAGATGGGATTAGAAATTGCCCACTGTAAACTGCTGTTTACTGGCAAAAGGTAGCCCACAGTTTGGCTTTGAGAAACCTCAGCAGCCAAAGCAAGAAGAAAACAAGATCAGTTACGTGATTTACAGTGTATCTCGGGTAAAAGCGAACTACTATAGTGGCTTAGGAGAAATCCAGCTATTCTTGGTACCAGGAAGGAAGAGAAATTTATACTCATAAGAGCAAAGCTTGGGCTTCCCTGGTGGCGAAGTGGTTAAGAATCCACCTGCCAATGAAGGGGACACAGGTTTGAGCCCTGGTCCCGTAAGATCCCACATGCCACGGAGCAACTAAGCCTGTGCGCCACAACTACTGAGCCTGCGCTCTAGAGCCCTTTCTCCACAACAAGAGAAGCCACCGCAATGAGAAGCCCGCGCACCGCAACAAAGAGCAGCCCCCGCTCACCACAGCTAGAGAAATCGCGCACGCAGCAACGAAGACCCAACGCAGCCAAAATAAATAAATAAATAAAATAAAATAAAAATAAGAGCAAAGCTTAACTTAGCATACTTAATTTGCAAGACAAGCCAGGTTACAGTGACCTGGGTATTTTCTGCTTATGCCTCTGAAAATCATAAGCAAAACTTAAATTGTTACCCCAAATTGATATGAAGTAACCGCTAACCAATTCCCTTTCATTTAAGAAAATTCTAATATTGTAACCAATCGCTGTGAAGAATAAACAGTCACTGCCTCCACACTATATAAGATACTTTAAAACAATATACTTCTGAGCCTCATTCCTTGTTTTGGTTTGAATGCTCCCAGTTTGCTAACTGTCTTTTTGGTGTGTGCACAATAAACTTTTACTAATTACCACTTCAGTGATTCATTGGTTTTACTTTTTTTTTTTTGTCTGAACTTTTGACGATTCTAAATGTAAAAAGGGAAATACAGATACTACATTGCACCAAACATACCGCAGTGTCAATTTAAGCGTCTCCAGGTCTCTCTGGAGATAGTAGGGGATTTTCTGCATTTCTTCATTCCCATAAGGTAGACCACGGCGCGAGCAAGGCATTCTCAAAATTCCATCCCTGATTTGAGTGAAAATTCACAACATACGCTAAAAAAATAACGCCTGGAGTATCCAAGGATATATGCCACTCAGAGTGGAGTCGGTGAGCCTCATTCATCTTCATCACTCGTAAGACAGTGCCTCTTGTGCCTGTCGAAGAGCTTTGCAAACGGATACAAAAACGAGACTACTAAAGATGGGATCCCGAGAGGGTAAGTTGCTTATCTCTAGTGAAAATCTGTGCTTCGCGGCTCCTCTTGCTGCAACCTGTTGGCTTCGGAGTTACTATGAACCTCAAATCCCAGCACCCGGCCCTTCTACCCAATAAATACAGACGTCGCCGTTAAAAAAAAAAAAAAAGGATGGGCTCCCCTTGGCTAGAGAGGCCCTGAATAGACGGCTACTCTCACTTTGCCAGGATGCAGAGCTTCAGCCCCCACTCTCCCCAGCCCGGAGGGGGGGTCTCTCTCCCGACGCGCTCAGCCTTCCACTGGGGTCGCCGAGGAAACGCCTCCCTGCTCTCCCGCATTCTGATAGGCCCGCAAGACTGAGGCTGCGAAAAGTCACCGCCCTATTGGCTGGAGGGCGCGCCCGCGCGAGGTTTCCTGGGAGATGTAGTCCCTGGAGCCGCTGGGGGCTCAGGGGTCTGACATCAGAGGTTTCGGCCGCCTCAGCTGACGACGGTGGTAAAGCGGTGGGTGTGTCTGGAGACTGGGTGAGGGGAGTGGCGAGGATTCAGGTGAAGAAACCGAAGAGTCCATTAAAGAGAAGTGAGGGTTGCGGGCTCGCAGAAAGGTACGGACGTACTTCGAACTGGGGTGCAGAGCGTTGGGGGTGAGGGAGCGCAAGTTCCACGGCCAATCAGACACTAGCAACTGTTGTCTTAGCAAGCGCTCCGGACACCTAAGACCCCGCCCCCTGCCCCCACTCTAAGAAAAGAGACGGGCTCGGGCTGTTTAAATGGCTGTGGGGTTGGGTGGGGAAGAGGGTGGCTGGGTTTTCTCCCCGGCTCTAGCGTTGTTGTACTTGCGGCTCGGTGGGCGGGGAATGGCCGCGTTACTGGAGGTTGGACTGGGATCCCGGGCCGGCGCCTCATCTCCCCGCCGGTTGGCCCACAGCCCCTCTGGGGCGGGCACTTTCCTCCCGTGGTGAGGCGAGGACCTCCGGGATTCCTAGAGAGGACTCGGAAGTGCTCTCGGGGGTGGGATTTATGGCTCTACCCGCCGGTCAGGGAAAGCTTGGACTTGCTTACTTCCGGCGAAGAAGTGTTGCGAAGTGTCGGCTTCGGCTTTCTCTCTGTTTGTAAGAAGAAACCCGTCTTCCCAGCCTTGGCTGCGGGAGCTTGGTCTTCCAGGGGAGCTCCCCGGGACTGTGGCCTTGAGGAAAGGGAATGGCCTTTGTGTACAGACGAGGGTCCTGTCCCTAACCTTGACCGGGCCGGTTTCCGTGGATCGGGGTCAGGAGCGATTGTGGGCAATCCAGGTGCAAAATCTGTACTTAAAACCTTGGCTCTCTTCGGGACCCATGAAGTTTCCCGTTGGCCTGTCAAGCTCTTAGGGATCGAGGGACAGGACCAATTTTGACCATTGTAATGTTTTTGACCTCTGTTCTGACTTAAGTTTGGCTTGTGGTAGAGAGAAGGAGCGGCTGCGTCTGGACTAGTTAGTAAGTCTCGTCTTGTTATTTACATGAAATTTAATGTTCTTCTCCACAAAAATTGTATTTCATGAGGCCGTATGTCAGAGTTTTATTGCTCTCCTTTACACTTTTTAAATGTTGGAAATATTCTCCGTTGGTCATTATTTTGTGGGTGGAGTGATGGCTGTCTTGTAATTTTTAAGGAAATTACTCCGTTGGGTGATCATCTTTAGGATAGATGACCTCTTTGTCATCTCTTTGCTAATAACGATTTCCAATATATCAGTAGGTTGCACGCTAAGGAAAGTGTCCTTCAGAAGATCTCAAAGAGCAGAAAACAAGTTTGGTCCGTGTAACCCAGCTTACCTGGAGAGAGATCCCTCTGAGTTGGAATGATAATGACAGGATCTGGGGAAGTTATAGACTTAGACCCTCCCGCGGAGACTTCACCAGAGCAAGAAGACCTTCTGATAGTGAAGGTGGAAGAAGAAGATTGCACCTGGATGAGGGAGTACAATCCGCCCGTGTTTGAGACTTTCTACCAGCGCTTCAAGCACTTCCAGTACCATGAAGCGTCAGGCCCCCGGGAGGCCCTTAGCCAGCTCCGGGTGCTCTGCTGTGAGTGGCTGCGGCCCGAGCTGCACACCAAGGAGCAGATCCTGGAGCTGCTGGTGCTGGAGCAGTTCCTGACCATCCTGCCTGAAGAGTTCCAGACCTGGGTGAGAGAACATCACCCGGAAAACGGAGAAGAGGCTGTGGCCGTGGTAGAAAATATAGAAAGAGAACTAGAGGAACGCAGACAACAGGTGAGTGAAAGAGGAGACCTTCGGGCAATGAGGAAGGAGAGGAAGAGAGTTGAGGAGCTGCTGAGCAGGGGTGAGATCCTGAGCGCCCTGGTGCTTCATTCATATTCTTTTGTTCTCCTGGGATTAGGTGCACTGTGGAGATATCCTGCCACTCCAGCAAAGAGAAGCAGTATGCAGTTTGTTAATCTGGAGAAGACAGTCTGCGATCTTATTTCTATTTTAAATTACTGTATTTATTTTTTGAGTGGTGACATAATACAAAATTCAAAATGTACATAAGGTTATAATGAAAAGTAAGTGTCCCTCCCACCCCTAATTCCCCAGCCGCCAGAGTTCTCCTCACCAGGGGCAACCATTGTCCCATGATACTTGTCTGTCCTTACAGAGATACACTGTATTCTGTGTATATTAGAGTATATGTGTATGACTTGTTTTTTAAAAAACACAAATGTTTTTACATCATTGTGCACTTCTGCCTCTTGCTTTTTTTCTTATAGTGTATCCTGGCTTGTTCTATGTTAGTGCAAAGAGAGCTGCCTCACTCTTTGAAACTGCATTGTGTTACATCGTATGGATATACCATAATTTAACTCCTGTTGAAGGCCATTTACGGTGTTCCTTTAGATTATTTCTGAATCTTTACTGCAACAGACTTTGCTGCAATAAATATCCTTTATATACATCATTATTTGTAGAATCAAAGCTTAGAAGTCAAAATGTTGGCTCAGAGCCCATACGCATTGCATTTGTAGTTTGGACAGCTGTTGACAGATTGCTCTCTGCAGAGGTTATACCAGATTATATTCCCGACAGCCATGTATGAGAGAAATTTTTTGCTTGCAGCCTGATAACACGATGTTATCCAACTTTTTGATTACTGTCAATCCGAAAGATGGAATATTTCTGTGCAATTTTAATATGCATTTTTTCTTATGAGTGAGTTTGATCACTGTACATATTTTGAAAGCTGTGCATATACCCTTTTCCATGACCTATCTGTTTATATTAACCTGTTAGAAAAAGTAAGCACTGTGTCTGCCATCTAAGTTGCAAGAGTTATTTTCCCGCTTTGTTGTTTGTCTTTGCTTATGGAGATTTTTGCTCTGCCGGGTTTTTTTATTTTTATGCAGTCAGTTTAAATCTTTTAATTTATGGTTTCTGGGAATTGTGCCATAATTAGAAAGGCCCTCTCCACTACACTCCACTATTATAAGAAACTTATCGTTTCTTCCCCACGTTTTTGTTATGGTTGTTGTTGTTTTGTTTTACCCTTTGAAATGATAGATCCATCTGGAATTCATTTTGGTGTAGGGTGTTTGGTGTGGTTATAGCTTAATTTTTTTTCCAGATGTCTGTCCAGTTGCCCCAGCAACTTATACAGCAATCCCTTTTTTTCCTTCTCTGATTAAAATGCCATCTTGGTTACATACCAGATTTCTACATGTATTTGGGTCCATTTCTGGTCTTTTTATTCTATTTTATTGATCTTACTGTCTGTTTACATATCAGTATTTCAATTATCTGAGTTATGTAAAGTGTTTTGGTCAATAGGCCTGCCCTCCCCCTTCCAAATTTTTTTTTCAATATATTTTTTTTTCCATATGAACTTTAGAATTATTTAGCTTCTACCACTCCAAAAATCCTGTCGGTATTTTTTGCTGGGATTGCATGAAATCGGATGTTAATTTAGGGAGGTTCCGTATCTTTACATTGTTACGTCTTCTTGTCCTTTCTTACTCATTTATCACCTGACTCTGTCTACCTCCCTCTTGTTGCTAGGCTCACATTTCTGAAACTTTAATTTTTTTTTTTTTTTTTTTTATAGCAAAGAAACAAAAATCATGGGATCCTAGGTGTACAAGACTTTGAAGCTAGTTAGAGAATTTCCCTCATTCTTCAGAGCCATTGCCCTTCAGTGTAAGGTACCAGTCTCATTATTCTTCCCGTCTGGGTCAGGGGTACTTCAATACTCCAGAACATCCTCAGGCTCTTCAGCTGGGTTAGCTCACTCCATGAGGCAAGAGGACAGCAGAGGGAGTTGCTGGGGACCTGCCGCCAGACCCTGCAGCTGAGCTGAATAATTGTCTTGCAGACCGGAGTGTTTGAACCTTTCTATTGCTTCTGTCAGGACAAGAAGTAAAGGTTCCTGGTGCCATCTGGTTATTCCTTTTTTAAACCTTTTTGGGACATTAGCGGACAAACCTTTCCCT